GTGAGGAGCTGGGGGGAGGGCACCGTCGGACGGGTGCAAGTGAGGAGCTGGGGGGAGGGCACCATCGGACAGGTGCAAGTGAGGAGCTGGGGAGAGGGCACCATCGGAAGGATGCAGGTCAGGAGCTGGGGAGAGGGCACCATCAGACGGGTGCAGGTCAGGAGCTGGGAGGGCACCGTCAGATGGGTGCAGGTCAGGAACGGGGGGGGCACCGTCAGATGGGTGCAGGTGAGGAGCTTGGGGCGCACTGTCTCATGGGTGCAGGTGAGGAGTTGGGGGGGCACCGTCGGACAGGTGCAGGTGGGGCCGGGAGCCGGCAGGTGGGACTGCTCTGCCCGGATGGTGCCACCCTCTGCACTACGGTGGCGAGCCCACAGTCCTGGCGGACCCTCAAGCAACATACCTGGACTTGCAGGTGGGCTCTTCCGCAGGGCCACAGGCCTGGTACTCCCTGTGAGATGGGCACTCCACCACTGCAGGACAGGGCCAGGTCAGAGGGCTGCCCCACGCATGTCAGGTGAGGAGCCTGGACACCCCCGAGCAACAGAGCTGCCCAGCACCCCACACACAGCAGACGGTGGCCAGCTGCCTGGGGAGTCAGCCTCTGCCCTCATGGTTGCCCTGAGCGGGGTGGTGGGCACCCAATTGCGTCTAGTGACATTGACAGAATCCCCAGCACCTCAGCCCCTCCGGCCTGGCCTTTTCCATCCCACAGCCCCAGCCCTGGTCTCACACCCGCCATCTCTGCGAGCCCGGCACGGCACACCCGGGTCTAGCTTCAGGCTGGACAGAGCACCCGGCAGAGCCTAGTGGGCACGTCTGGCCCGCAGGCCCCCAGCTCCAGGGCAGGGGCAGACAGGCACTTACGGCAGGCCCCGTGTGTGTGGTTCCGCCAGTTGAGGCAGACGCCCGCCTGGGCGCAGAGGGCCGCGTAGGCCTGCAGACTGGCACACTCCAGGCGCGAGCCGGGCACGAAGCAGCTGTCGAACACGCAGGCTTCGTAGTAGTGCTGTGGCGGCACCAGCACGTGGCACTCGGCAAACAGGCTGCGCAGGGAGGGGCAGAGTCACACTCAGGCGGCGCCCACCTCTCCACCTCCCTACCCTGGCACCTCCGCCTAGCCCGTCCTCCTGGAGTCCAGCACCTGCCAGAGAGGCGCCTGTGGGTGACGGAGGCCCAAGGGACAGCCCAGCTGGGACAGGCTGGGGACAGAACAAGGGATGGGCGAATGAGGCGGCTCTGCAGCCCGGTTCCCAGGACAGAAGCCACACATCTGCGTGGCCATTAGCTCCAGCAACCCTGGCAGACAGACACCCAGCCTGTCCACGGCCCCCACACTTCCAGGGACGGGGTGCTGACTCCCCATGGCTGCTCTGTCAAGCCCAAACCTGCCTCCCCAGTGTCAGCCCTGAGCTCTGTCCTGGGTTGACTGGTCTGCTCCAGGCCTCGCACCCGGCCAGCCCTGCACCTTCCCAGGAGGCGGGACAGATCATGGAGCTCAATAAAGGCACAGGCACGTCGGACGTGGCATCTCAGTCCCGTGGAACCCAAGGGCCTGGGCCCTGGACCCCATGCTGACCTAGCGCCTGACCCTGGTTCCACGGCCTGCTGGCTCCCCAGCCCCACACAGGCCTCACGTGCTGCCTCCTCCCTCTTTGCAAGAGCTGGGGGCCGGGGCTCAGAGAGGCAGGCAGGCAGGCCGGGCAGGGTCACCTGTCCTTGATGAGCTGGCAGAGGGGAGATGGGGTGCAGTCCTTGCGTGGGGTCGTCTTGCTGCCCCCGGGCACCGTGACGGCCGGGCGCTTGGTCGTGGAGATGCTGTGGGGACAGTGTGGCTTGGAGGGGTCATTCACCACCCACTGGTCGGCCGCAGCCTCACAGTTGGAGACGATCTCCCCGCTGGGCAGAATGCAGTCGTCAGACGTGGTGTTGGTGCAGGTGCCTGGGTCAGTGAGAGAGGCCACGGTGCAGACAGCGTGAGCCCTGCCCTCTGCAGCCCAGATGCCCGGGACTGCCGGCCAGGGCCAAGGGCAGAGACCAGGCCAGGCCCCTCCTGTGGGCTCCTCGCAGGGCCTGAACCGGGATGACGGCCACAGTGGCCCCGAGCAGAGGGGCAAGAGGCCCGCGGCCAGGTCCGCCATGCTCACAGGCAGCCTCAGCCTCAGCCCGGCCCGGCTGCCCTCCCCGGGGCAGGTCATGGGGACACAGGGCACCGTGGGGGCTCGGGGCCCTCAGGGGCCTCTGAACTCACCGCACTGGCCCTTGGTATTGTTGCCGAATTTGTGGTAGGGCAGCCTGATGGAGAAGGACAGCCCGTTGTAGGAGATGAGGGCGCCCAGCTCAGGGACGGCCACCACGTAGTTGATGCCGGACTGGTACACCTCCAGCCCGTACTTCCTGTAGGGCAGTGCCACCACCTGACCGTTCACCTGCACCTGCAGCCGACACACCGGGTGGGGGAGCTGCAGCTGCCCCGGAGGCCCTCCCGCCTCCGCCTCCTCCGGGGAGAGCTCCAGAGCTGCCCCGCCCCACCTGCTCTCCCACTGGTCCTGCAGAGAGGGGGTCCTGCCTACCCGCCTTTCCCGCCCCTTTCCTTTCTTCTGTTCCACTGCGCCTGACCAGACCCTGGTCCCAGGGGTGAGCCAGCGAAGGAGCTCTCCCGGGAACCCCCCCGGGACTGTGGAGCCCCTCGCAGGGGGCCAGGCTCCCTGGGCCTCCTGAGCCTCAGAACCAACGATTCCCTTGCAAGTAGGAGCAGCTCAGCCAAGGGCGTGCAGAGCCCCGTCCCCCACTCTGTCCTCGGGAGGCAGCATCTGCTGCAGAGACTGTACCCAGCACGGCAGGCGTGCCAGGGATCAGGGGGCCCCTCCAGGACGCCCCTGGAGGACTGTGGGAAGAGCTGCGGTGTCTGAGAGCCAGGCGCCCACCTTGCCCCACCCTCCAGCCTGGGTCTGGGAGAGGCTGTGCCTGGCACCCCACAGCACAGTCCTCTGGCCCTGTGGGGAACCAGGGCGCGTCAGGGCCTCCGTGCCAGCCACCCGCGGCCACGCTGCACCTACCTGCACCCGCATGGGCATCATCTGCACGGTCTTGACGAGCACCTCCTGGGTCTCGTGGCGCACGATGAGGGTGCGGGGACAGGACACCCTGTCGTTGACGTCACAGTGGTAGTTGTCGATGTAGACACCAAAGTTGTCCACAGTGGGGCTGATCTCCTCCACCAGCACGTAGGTGCAGTTGCCCTGGTAGCTGTAGTACAGCCCGTCGAAGGTGGTGTAGTGCGGGTCCCCCCAGCCCGTGCAGTAGCCTGCGAGGGAGCCCGAGTGAGCACGCCATCTGTGCCCCCCGGCCAGAGTCAGGTGCAAGGGCTGGGCCGGGGCACGGTCAGGAAGAGGCCACAGGAAGCTGGGGCCTGAACACCCGCTCCTGGGTGGGGGCCTGGGGACGTAAGAGCTGCAGTGGCCCCGGAGCACCCACAGAGGCCAGACCGGAGTTCAAACCCCAGCTCAACCCCCTCTTGCCTCAGAAGCACCCTTGTTCCAGGGAGGGTCCCTAACTCCACCAGGCAAGCCCTCCGCCTGCCCAGGCCCACCACCCCTCACAATAGGGCAAAAGCAGGACTGTGAGAAGTCCCTCAGACGGCACCCGGCCTCAGTGAATGGGGTCTGTCCCCAAGGAGCTGCAACCCTTCTGTCCCAGGGGATGGGGGGATGGGGGATGGGGGATGGGGGAGGGCAGGGGGGAGGAGGGCAGGAGGGGGGAGGGCCCAGGGGCCCTGGACTCACAGTCGCACTCCCAGTGCCAGCAGCAGCGGTCGTCGTCCATGACGCGCACGGGGGTGAGGCCGTTGGAGCAGGTGGGCATGGGCGGCGGCTCACACTTCACCTCCGTGATCTCCACCGTGTTGTTGTACTTGCATGTGGCCATGAGGCAGTCACACAGCCACCAAGTCTCATTCTCCTGGGGGGGTAGGTCAGGGACGGTCAGCGGGACGGGCACAGGATGGGGGGTCCGCGCTTGGCAGGGGCGGGCACTGAGTCAGGAGGCTGGAGGCCAAGGTGTCTTCCACGGGTCTCACTGCAGCCAGCCACCTCGCCAGGCACGGTGAGAAGGTGGAGGGTGGACCCCCCTCCCAAGGGGCTGCAGGAGGCCTTGGCCCTCAGACGACCTGCAGGAAGTGGTGCCTGGGGCCTCGGTGCCCGGACCTGCTGTACTCAGCACATGGGAACAGAGCCGCCTGCAGCCACTGACCTGCCTGGGAGGATCAAAGTCTGGGCACTCGGGGGGGGGCTTGGTGGTGGGCGTCGTCTTGGAGGGTGTGGGTGTGGGCTTGGAGGGCGTGGGCGTCGGCTTGGAGGGCGTGGGCTTTGGGGAGGGCGTGGACGGGCAGGACCAGTTATAGATCTCCAAGGTGCAGCTCAGCGAGCAGTTCACGAAATAGCAGGTGTCCCCGAGTGTGCCGTTGTACACCTCCTCACCTGCGAGGGGACAGACCCATGCTCACGCATCCAGAGGCAGGGCTGGCCGCTGACTGTGTGGCAGGTTCCCACAGAGGCCACCCAAGGGAAGCCAGGCCCTGGACACAGCCACCCTCGACCGTGGCTGCCTCCTGAGATGCCCCCACTGTGACCTCAGCCCTGGCGCCTGACCCATTGGTATGTGCCGGGGCCAAAACCGGCCTCGGCCACCCAAGTGCAGGATGTGAAGCCCGAGTACCTGGTGCATAGTAGGTGTCGTTCACGACACAGCACTTAACGATGGTGCCGGTCACCAGGCCTGTGGTCCTGATGATGCTGGATGTGGAGACTGGGGTGGGCGTGGGGGTCCAGGCACTGGTGGTCGTCCGTGCAGTGCTGCGGGTGGTGGGTGAAGGTGACCCAGTTGTGGTGCCTCGTGTGGGGGTGCCTGTGAGAGTGGGGGCCACGAGTGAGGGCTGAGGCGCTGCGCATCACAGACGCTGCCGCTGGGTCCCCACCGCCACTCCCCAGCTGCAAGGGACACAGACGGCCGAGCGGGTGGTGGTACCAGAGGGCCAGGGCCTCCCGCCCACCTCCCAGGCCCTCGGAGTCACTGGGGACGTGGACCACCAGGGCTGGTGACACCGCGCCCAAGTGTCTTGGGAGCCCGCAGATGACCTGGCGCTCTGGCAGCACCACAGCTTGCTGGACGCGCCAACTGCCAGCAAGAGGCGTCCAGAAGGCACAGGCTGTGGGATGCCGTCCGCCAGGGAGGGGCCCCAAGGCCTGAGGAGGGCATGCAGCCAGAAGCAGGGGGACCTGCAGGCCCTCACTGGTAGCCTCTCTCCACCCCTGCAGGTTGGTGGGTTCCCACCGTGCCACGTCACACAGCGGGGCCCCTGAAGAAGGCCGTCCCACGGGAGAGCTGGCCAGCTTTGGCTGGCTCATGTCAGCGGCTCCTGCCACACGGCAACTGGGCTTGGTGAGCAGGGAGGCACCCAGAGCCTGCCTGGTGCCTTCCTGGGACAGTCCCACCAGGCACACGGGAGGAGGAAGCGCTGCAGGTAGGAAGAACCCAGCAGCTCTACTTACCTGGAGGGGCCATGGTGGTGCCGGGTGGTGGGGATGGCGTGCGGCCTCCCGTCGTGGTGGCCGTGGGTGTCGTGGGTGTGGAAGGTGGGGCCATGCTGGTTGTCTTCGTGGCAGGTGATGGGGTACTCGGAAGGGTGGTCGACTCCGTGGGAGGGGAGGAGGTGGACCGAGAGGTCTGAGGAGCTGAGGACTCAGGTGGGTGTTTGGATGTGGTTGACTGAGCAATGGGGGTTGTGCCGGTGGGTGTGGGGGGCTCTGTGCTTAAAGTGGTGGGTGTTGGGGTTGGGGTCACTGTAGTGGTTGGAGGGCTGGGAGTGGTAGTTGTGGTGGTTGATGGAGGGCTGGGGGTTGGAG